CCTCCCCAGAAAAGGTACAGAACACTGGAGAAGATCCTCTCTGCTTACCCTCACTTTACCCAACAGTGCCTTCTCCCTCTATGTACCCAAACACGCATTCTCCCCATCCAAATCCTTCTGCCTGATGTTATACTTACAGAGTCAAGGAAAAGCCATTCATGCCTCTACAGCTGATGCTAGCCTTCCTTCCCATCCACAGCACCGGGCATCCTTATTTCTGCCCATACTTCATGTGTTTGACACAAAGGAGGCACTGTGTGAGGATGAGTAAGCCACGACTTCCCAGAAGAGAATCTGCCCAGACCCATGATGGCGGCCAAGGCGAGGTGGCCAAGGCTGCGTCCTATGCATAGTCTTTGTCAGAGGGGACCCCTGATAATATGAGGTGAGAGCCCTTAGAACTAGAATAAATGATTTCTCCTGACATAACCAGCAAGGGGGAAATTAGTATGTCAAAAGACATGAAGCTGAAGTTATATTCTCATCAAAGACAAATTTAATAACAACCCTACAGGAAAACAACACCAACATTCATGGGGAAGCTACCTTATATACGCTACCATATTTGGAAATAAAGAAAAGGCATCCGAAGGTGACCTTGCCAGTTTAGCTACTGTGAGAGTGGCCATCCTGTAGTCCTAACTGTTTAGGGACTGAAATATATCAGCTTTGGAGTAGAACAGAACCAGCTCCAAAGGCTGCCTTACCCATTCCAGTTCATGCTCCTTCCAAGCAATGCAGACCATGAGGTCTTTCTCAATGAATACTTACAGGCAAGATCAGACGTGCTCAGGATGGTATAAGACGGGGAGAAGGGATGAAGAGAGGGGAGGGGAGAAAAATGTATAGCTTAATAAAAACAGTAAAAAAAGGAAAACATGATTAAAAAAAGAAGAAAATTTACAGGCAAGATCTATCATAGAGGCTGACAAAGAAGGTGACTCCAAGCCACTCAGTCAATAGAGGGCCAGCAGGTGATAAAACACAATAAATTCGGACTCTTATGGTGACATGTTAAAACAAATTAGTCATTTCCCTTTAGCCTTTCATGTTACATCATTTAGAACTTTTCATCTAGATTTGCCAGATGAGGAAACTGGGCTTTAGCAAAGATATAATGTAGATTCAAATAGGCAGAGCTACTCGTCAGTAGTGATGGTGCCTAAGATGCCCTACCCTTTCTCTCGCAGCTGAATTTAGGACAGCATCTCTAATCCCCTGTCTTCACACAGCGCTGCTAAGCGTTAATCTGAGAGCATCCTCAGATTTGTCTCTGCCAGAGCTCCTAGCCTCAAATGTATCTTGAACCAGAAGTTGCCTCTAAAAATTTATCTTCACGTTCTCTGCTGTCTTTAGAGAGGAAGGCGGACCAAGTCCAAGTTCCTATGTTACTGATCTGAGTAACTTTAACATACAGCAGTGTTGGTGAGCTGACCAGAAAATAAGACACTTATCTGCTATGTCTCTGCAAAGCCCTGGAAGTAAGTTCTGAGAATCTACACCCACCCAATACTGCCATCACATTTCTAATGAACGGATAGTCATGAGCTCTCTTCTGAGAGTCATCCAGACCCCTACGCTAAGTCCCAACACTTGTCAGAGAAGTCCATCAGCCTTGAGAGAGTGGACTGTTCTCTCCAGGAGTTCTGCCATAGAAGGCGCTATGTTCCCCGACCATATGCAAAGGTTCTCCAGTTTGGATGATTAGTTCCTAAGTTTGGAATGAGAGCACCACAGAATGTTGGGTATCCGCCTCGTCACCCCAAAGATGAACACCATGCATTACTACTACGCACACAGTAAAGCACATGTTTGTGATGGACAAGTCACATTACAACTTTCCCAGGGAGTTTTCCTGCTCTACAACAGAAGCTCAGGTGGGACCCAATCTAAGCTCTCTCCGCCTGAGGCTGTCAACAATCACCCGCACAAGCTATTAATCCAATCAACTTCTGCCACCCTCCCCAGACTTGACTGCTAAGTCACTCAAGACAAATTAAAAATGAAACGAAACCCTGACTATCCTAAACCTTGTCTCCCCTCTAAGTCAATTTGATAAGCATTTCTGGAGGAGTAGTGACTGTGTGTGACAACATGAATTCAGAGACTGATGGCTCTCCATTTTATTTTCTGAGAGACAGGGTCTTTCTCTAGATGTGGAGTTCAACAAGACTCGCTGTCCAGGAAACCCCAGCCATCTTCCTGTCTCTGCTTCCTCGGTGGCAGGATAGCTGATATACCAGACATAGAGTCTTTTAATGTGGGTTCTGGGATCCAAAGGCAGATTGTTATGCATGCATGACAAGCTCTTTACTGGCTAGGCTTTCTCCTCAGCCTGAAACATTTTGTATAAGACCCAGTTAGTAAATAGTTTAAGCTCTATAGGCCACAGAGTCAGGGTGACAGCTGCCCAACTCTGCCACTGCAATAATAAAGCAGTCACAGACAAAAATGTAATCAAGTGGACTTGGCCTCACTCCATTAAACTTTATTTATGGACACTGAAATTTGAATTTCAAAAAAGTTTGACTACTTCAAAATATTTCCCTTTCTTTGATTTTTAAAAATCTTTGTAGAAATGTAAAAACCAATTTTTGTACGTGGGCTGTAGAAAAACAGGAAGGAGGCTGGATTTGGCCCACAGGGCTGTGGTTGCCAACCCTTGCTCAATGTCAGAATATGCATCCAAATGCCCCCAAGAAAACATCTCCACCCACTCAAGGGCAAGGTCCATGTGGCCTCTTGGCAGTTTGTAGAGTAGGGCTTGGTTCCTACTGGCAGTTCTATGCACACACCTTCAAAATGAGGCTCACTTCACTAAGATAGTCCAAAGACTAGGTCTCAGAAGCAGGTACCAATCTCTTAGTCACATGATACTATCTCCATCCTTCCTCTGGCTGTGTCACCCATCACATATGTAAGGCAAACTCTGCAAGAACACGTCACTGAATGTGTCCATACAAATGACAAGCAAGATTTCCACACATATCCTCAACTTCAGCTTTTGCTTGATCTCTGAAAAGTGACAGCAATTTAGAGGGCAATAAAATTAGTATTCCAATTCAGTGGCGATAAGGGAATGTTCTTGTCATTAAGGAATTACAACCCCATGCTAATAAGTTTATTCATTCATTCCTAGAAAGTAACAACTTCCCATGTGGATAAATGCAGAAAAGATGCAGCTATACAATATTAAACACGCTTCTAAGAGCTAAAACATTTTGTAAGCTGCCCCAGCACAGTGACGTCATAAAATGACATCATAAAACACGACTGTGCGTTGGAATCTGCACCCCCCCTTTCTTTTCCACTCTGTCCAACTGTGAGACATAAAAACGCTTACCACACTCGGCAAACCACATGTTCAAATAAGGGATTTCATCTTTCTTTCTAACAAAAACACCTCGCTTCCTGGATGAGAATGACTGGCCTCATTTACACTTTGGTTTGAACTAAATTTGGGTTTGAACACCCCAAACTGTGAGCGGCTACTCCAATCACAACATGGAGGGAATGGAGAGGAAGAAACCACCAACCAGGATATCCCAACCCCCACCCCCATGCCACCCCATCCCACCTCCACACAGGCAGATCAATGGCACAGAAAGAACTGGGCCACCTCAGTGGCCAAAGGAAACAGTACTCATTTTCAAAGCTGAAGACACACAATTCCGAAGCAACAATAGGTGACTCCAAAGTCCCTGCCAGGTATAAAGATAACCTTTGTTTTCAAAACAGAGAACTCATTAACCACCACAACGTTGTAATGGGAGGAGGGGAGTGTGTGACCCAAATGCTCTGGCGAAGGAAGCCAAGGTTGCTCCTCTCTGTCCCAAACACTAGCACAGTGGTGAACCAACTGCCCTGGTTTCCTGGAATGGAGGCAGCCTCTGTGAGGAGTTGTCCGGCACAGCTCTGCCCTCAAGAAGAAGTATGGCTTCGGCTCCTGCTGTTGAATGGATGCCAGGAAGCCCACTGCAGACAGGACCATTCCAGGGCACTATTAGACCGCTTGAAGCTGTTCCACCACATCAGGCACGCACCAGTGAAAGACGGAACCTGATTAATGCCTATCACTTGGACACAAAAACCTTCTCAACGGAAGTCTCTTTCAGAGCCATCCCCCGGCCTCGAAGATTCCTGAAGGCAAAAACTTTCTGGACTGGGTCAGTCTTCTGCTATTACAGACTGAGAACCATATTCATCCCCAGAGGGGAGGTCACAATAGTTACACACACACACACACACACACACACACACACACACACACACAATAATTCAATAAAAATATGGACCCATTCATTCCCAACGAACTGATACCATCCAGCACCGCTATCTTCAGGCCTGTGTGTGATGCCTAGTGGGGCAGGGGACAGGAGTCACTTCACAGAGTCTTAAGATTTCACCATGTCTCGGGCTGGGATTCATTCATTCATTCAGTTGTACCCAAGACCTTCACCTTCTCTAGTTCCACTTACCCGCACCCCCCATCACATTACCCTCTTATGGTTGTCTTTCAGGATGGCTATATCTGGGCCCTACAGAAGCCTCTATCACAATGAAAACGGCTCCTCAGAGCATTCACCTCAGGAAGACCTACAGCGCTAACAAATGAAACCAAGAGCCGACTGTGACACTCCTGACTGACCAGCCAAGAGAACAGATGCAGATGTTAAGATGAAACAAAACAAAAACATATCTCAAACTTTTGCAGGACTTGGCTGACCTGGCCTGTAGGCTATTCCACCCAGTAAACAGGATGTGCTCCCAAATTATAACTTCTCAGTAGCTTACGTTTCCTAGGTGAGTATACAATACAAAATGATCAACTCAGCATTATACAGATTATATCAGAGACTTGGCCACAGGCCCTAAATATTTCATCAAAGAGGCTGGTGATTCAAAAGTAAATATATTCAAAAGTAAATTGACCTTTAAAAGTTGCTGAGAGAATAGCAGAAACGGGAACAACACCAAACCCGCAAGGCATGGTTTCCTACCTTCTTTTTGGAGTGGTTTCTTTCTTCTTCCTTTATAGCTTTGCTATTTTTCCCAGCACGGGACACCTTCTGGTCCCCAGACTGCTTTATGGTGATCTTGATCTCAGGGGGGCATATATAGTTCTCCAGGTTTTTGGGGGGTTTCTTGGCCCGCTTTGTAGTCTGAATCTTCAGCTTCAAACTCCCCTCGGTGAAGTTGGCCTCTTTGATGGAGAACTCCTGTTCTTCCAAACCATCTCCAGCCACCCATTTTTCACTGTCTGCATTAGAGTTGCAATCCACATCTCGTCCTGAGCCCAGCTCATCCTCCTCCTCTGGCTCCATGCGTTCTCCACCCACGGAGATACCTTTCAAGGGCTCTCCAGAACAGCCAGGAGCTGCTGGGGACTTGGACGAGGAGCCTGGAAGGAATTCCGACTCGCTCCCTCTTTGCCGAGAGTGGCTTAAAATTTCCCTGGACTCCATGATAATCCTACAGTCTTCTGGAGTTCTTGGGAGGGGGGAAGGACGAAGAGACGTGGGGAAAAGGTCAGAAGAGAGGACACCCAAAATTCCAAGAACAAAGTAGTCCAGCTGCTGGGTTCAACGTCCCAAGAACGGAGATGCGGTGACGTGCTCAGAAGATGTCAGATCTAAAATTGAGAAGTGAAGAGGTAAGTGGCTATGGTAGGAAAGAACTGCACCCCAAAATATCCAATCCCAGTTTCTAAAATCCCTTCCCACGTGCCTACAGCATCGGTCCAGAAGTTCACATACCCAAACTGAATCTCACCAGAGCCCAGGGAAAACATATTCACATGCATCGCCATAATGGGTTATTAGTAATTTTTATGGCTCCAGGCCCACTAATAAAGATAAGAGAGGTGAGTCCTCAGCCAGTAACAACTAGAGGCTTCTCACGCTGAAGCCACACGGGACGGAACTCTGACACCAGTAAAACCAACCACAATGCAAGGAAACTCAGTGCTGATACAGGTCTGTGGGAACTGTATCCGGGTGGCTCCTGCTGCTACTTCCCTCTCCCCTCTGAGGAACAGTATGCAAGATGAAGAACACTCTCAGCTGCCCCTGAGAAGCCCTACCCCACCCCCTTCCTAAAGGACGGGCATCCTTTAGTCCTCCTGTCTGTTCCTTGTCACGTGTCATGACTTAAATCACACAGTACCCCATTATGCAAAGCTTCCTAGTTTTTGTTTCTGCTTGTTTGTTTCATTTTGCTTTGGGGGTTTCGTCTTTCACCCTGTGAGACCAGGTCTCATTTCCTAGTGCAGGCTGGCCTAGAAATCACTGTGTAGCGCAAGCTGAACTCCAGTTTGTGGCTATATTCTTAACCCAGCCCACCAAATACTGGAATTTTCCATGTGGGCTACCACAGCTGGCAATCTATCTCTTAAACTTGGCTGTACTGAAAGTTGATAAGAAAACCAGAAGAGTTCAATGGGAAATCAGTAATTACTCTGGGATCGATGCAGACTTTTAAATGTTTGTATCTGCAGAAACATATGATAGCTAATCATTTCTATCACTTATATAAAATACAATTTTCAATCTCCTCTCTTGTTCCTTAGATGAAGGTCATTTTGTCCACAGAGCAGAAGAAGAGCAAACAATAGAGAAGCAACACTTCACAAGTCATCCAAAGTGTCGGGAATCCCTCCAACATCTTTTCCACCCTCTTCCCTCCAAGATAAGAAGAAAAAAAGATCAGGCTTTTTCCAGACGATCCCAGGGCAAATCAACTATCCTCCTCTCTAGCTCACCTCTATGCCTACTTTAGCTCACCTCTATGCCTACTTTATTTCTTCCCTAGTTCAGACTCATAATTACAAGAGCCAAAGGCAAGCCCAGCTGGCTGTCCATCTGTAGGAGAAAGCCTAATGTTGCACAGCATGCAAACCGCCATATCGTCTAGCATTACTCCCGAGTCTTCTTACCCCACTGAGCACACTCCCTGTTGCCAGCAGGAAGCTTTTCTACACGTTTTCTATTCCCACCTCTGAGTCCATCAGGTTAAAGAACCGATCATCAAATGTGCCTCCCAAGTGTGCCCAATGAGGCTTGTAAGGACACATTGAGAACAGCCAAGAACTGGAACCTGACAGCTGAGTGTGTGGTTTCTGGCTCTGGAACCAGCATCTTCTCAGCCAGTACCTGGCTAGAGAGACCGAAGAGGAAGTAGCCTAGGTCAGAAGCCTCCGCGCAGGCCATGGAGGTTTGCAGAGAAGCCCAAAACACACTCAGATCCTGGAAGTAGCTCGGCCCTGCGGATGGCCATGTTTACAAGAAGTTTCACTCTGGGAAAAGCAATAGTAAAGTTTTCCTCTGAAAGTAGAAAGACTGCTCTCATAAAATCAGGAGCACCCTTGCAGAGGTTACCAAAAACCACGAAACAGCCACCTGTGACTCAGTCGGCCAACAAGACCTTCCCTGGCTAGAGAAAGGAGATTGCACTTAGAACACATGACTCTGCCATTTTTTTCTCTCTCTCTTACTAAAGTCTTCGTCTCCAGTATACAAATATGCCTATATTCCTGAAACCTTTTATTTTAGAAAATGTCACAGTTAAGCCAACTGTGGTGGTATATGCCTGTGATCCTGGCATTTGGAGGCAGGAAGAACACAAATTCAAAGCCAGCTGGCCTACATAATAGTGAGTTACAGGACAGCCAGAAGTATATAGCAAGATCCTATTTCAGAAACCCGCAAGCAAAAGTCTTATCGAGTCAACGTCTGTGGATTCTTTTTTCACCAGGGCAGATAGCAGTGTAGAACCCTAAGGTATCAAGATGCCTTAGGACCTGGCCCTGCTCATTGTAGGAGAGCCCAGTTGGCTTCTCTCAGTCTACACTCCAGCTCCAAAGACATTGGAAGTCATTTCCCAGCCCCTAAGGACAGCAATGCCCAAGGCTTACTCCCTGAGGCAGGAATCATCACTATTGTGCTTTAATTCCCCCAGTAACTAGTATGCCCAGGCAAATGTGCCAATACAGGGTGTAAGATAAGGGAAAGACTTCCTCAGAAACTCTTAGCAAGCCACCTGGACCTCAACCAAACCAGGGAGACATTTAGATAAGATAAAAGAAGATAAAACACAAACTATGGATGAACAGATAGGCTATGATGTTGCTATATAACTATTATTAAGAAAGTACCTCCCATGTAAAAATGACTGGCTTCAGATTTTCACATACTTAACTGCATGAATCAATAACTATTTAGATGCAGTAGTAAAGACCCATAAAAATGAAAATCTGATACAACAAGTGTTTCCCAAATTCTCTGAAGATCCTAAGATACAATGAAAATATCCTTTCCCTCAAAAAGAAAACACTCTTGATTGGAGATTTTTAAAACAACTCTGAAAAAAGCTATGGCACCAGTGCAGGAGAGCTAAAAGACCAGTGTAGGAGAGCTACAGCACCAATGCAGCAGAGCTACAACACCAAGGCATGAGAACTTCAGCACCAATGCAGGAGAACTTCAGCACCAATGCAGGAGAGCTACGGCACCAGTGCAGGAGAACTACAAGAAGAGCACACGCTCTTGCTGGGACCTTGAGCAACTATTAAAAGAAAGAAAGAAAACCTCATGGAAATTCGGTGCTAGGGTGACGGTGATGACATGCATGCCCCATAAGCAAGAGGATCTGAATTTAAGAGTCCCAGAAGCCACTCCAATACGAAGTGGCTTGCTTGTAATTCCAGCCTTGGGAGGTGAAGACGAGGTTCCCAGGAGTGAACCAACTATGAAGACCAATCAGAAATCTCAGGCCTTCACATGCATGGACACACAGTTGCATGTAGGCAGGCATATATGCATGCATGCACACATGTGCACACACACACACATACACACACACACACACACACACACTAGCCTACATTCAAATATACACACATACCACACTTATCTACACCATGAAAAGAATTAAAGAGTGGGGGAACAAAGCAAGACAATAGCAGCGTGCATTACAAGGCAACATATGAGCCAGGAACATGTAGGATTGTGCTAATGGAGCAACTGGGGTGTGGCTATGGGGTGTGGCAACAAGAGGGACTGGTGAGAAGTACAGCAAACAAAAGGGTACAGTGGGATCGTGGAATCCTCGAGTGACAGATGTACTAGTGAGTGTGGATTTCATCTTACAAATAATGGGAATTCAGCAGGGGAAAGAACTCTTTCTAAGCTTCTTTGGGGGCAGTGCACACCTCATACCACTGCGGAACTGGGAAACCTAAAACTAAGCAGATAGCTGACCCCCTGCTGAAAACTGATTGTGCTTTCTTGAGGACCTGGACCAGCTGGACTTTGGGGGACAGTTGGAGTTTCTCATAACACGTACTACAGATAAACTAATAAGACCATTTCAAATAGTCCCAGACTCTACAAACCTCTATTCCAGACCTACCACCCTGGTCTCTCACATTCAGAGTCCAGTCCCAGACTGCGTTAGTGACTAAGCTGACCAGGCCACTCAGGTCAAACCTGTCTCCACAGTGTTCTTTCCGCGCTGGCCTCTACATAGAATCGGGCATCACATTTGCTGTCATTGATCCATGCAATTCCCAGAATAGGAGCAGTCCTCTCTAAATGTTTGTGCCATGAAGAAGGAATGAAAAATTAACAGGCCTAACAGACCCTGAGCCTTCCCATCTTTCCAGGTTATTCCAGAGTATCTTCATCTCCATAGTAACACTTTTACAAACTCTGGGAGACGGCCCTTACTCCCTGGCCTGACTTACATTTCACCCATCTGTACAGATGGCCTCTAAATGTCCATCTTGTGTCGTCTTCTAGTTGTTTTGAGCACATCCATCTTGTTTTTCTAGTTCAACAGCAGCTGAGACTCAGGCAGAGGCCAGCTGCAATTGAAGAGTGCTCACAGTCTCACCTCATTTCCATCCTGGGGATGGCGCCTTTGGAAGCTTGCTGGAAGCTCTTTCTGAATGAAAGTACATTCACCCCTGACAGCTATTCAAATTCCTTTTCCAGCCTTAGCTCCACCTACCCAGGAAGCCCCAGTCAAATGTTCTATCCTGGGGGTAAGGATCCAGATCCTGTGTCCACATGAACCCCATCATCTTAAAAATTCTAAAATAAGCCGGGTGGTGGTGGTGCACGCCTTTAATCCCAGCACTTGGGAGGCAGAGGCAGGTGCATCTCTGAGTTCAAGGCCAGCCTGGTCAACAAAGTGAGTTCCAGGAGAACCAGGGTTACTAGACAGAGAAACCCTGTCTCGAAAAACAAAAACATAAACAAACAAACAAACAAACAAAAAAGTCCTAAAACAAGAAAAACTTTCACTAGCACAGAGCAAAGAAACCTACACTGTCTGTTGGCTTCAGCAGCTCACAAAGCTGCTGTTCCTCGGTCACTCCCACACACACCAGCCAGCCTACACCCCATGTGAGTTTTGTGGTGGGTCTGGGAGACAACTGCCTGTCCCCCTTGTGAAAAGCCCCTGTCAACACATGCATGTGAGCACAGTCACACACTCAGAGCTGGGGAGTCCCGGCAAGGTGAAAGTGTTTTGACCTGTTCACATTCCTGCAATTGGCGGCTGCCTCAGAGAGGCCAGCACACAATGAACACTCTGTCCTTGGTTTCCTGCCTCCAGTGCAACACAGGCTGACCCTTCAGAGACTGCCTGC